TAGTACCCTCTATCATTTCCATTGATTAATTTTCATAGCTGATGTTTGATAAATAAAGAGTATAAAATATATTGAACATCTCCATTCACGATAAATATGTTTAAAACCAAACATATTATTATTTTTAGAGTAAACCTATTTGTAACATAGTATATTGTAATAATACAAAAACCGGTTTATTATCATAGTATTCTAATGTTTGGGAATATTTATACAAACAAGTTATAAAATTAATGATTTACTATTCTAGAGAAACTATTTTAAAACATTAATTTTGTTTAAAAAGATATCTAGACTCGTGAAAGATTGTAACTTATAATTTCAATATTTTCATGAATAATCTAATTTCTATGTATTTCCAGTGTGGTAATTTCTAATTTCCAGATATGTAGCAGGTAGGCATGGATAGTTAGGACTCAAAATACCAATAAACCCGAAAAATATTTGAAAAATACTTCAAACCATAAATAAATACTCAAAATATATTCAAATATCTGAAAACCTTGAATTTTACCTAATTTGACTCGAAAAACAAAATATACCCAAAAATTTGATTTGAATATCCAAAACAAAAAAAAAATATATATATATTAGAACCCGAAACCTAAAACTGTAACTAAAACTTAAAAGAATATACATAATACCAAAAACATATATGAAATATCCAAACATATATAATAAAAAAAAAAAATTGAGTGCTTTTATGTACCCGATCGGGTCTCGGTTATGATCCATACTAGAATAGAGTCCTGCGGGTCTTTAAAGATAGCCAGTAAGTACTTTATCATGGATCCTAGCCGAACCTATATTTTCGGGTCGGTTTGGTCGTGTTTTTCGATCCGGATAAAATGTCAAGACCTAGAGAGAGTTACATTAAAAATTTACATATAAAATCTCAAATAAACTAATTTATAAATTACATAATTTTTCAAAAAAATCTATTTTATATATTAAGATTTGTAGCCTAATAATGTACATCATTTCTAAAATACTAAATCATATCAAAATTTGTTTATAATCTAACAAAAACCCGCGCTTTTGAAGCGCGGGTCAAAATCTAGTATCATCATTATAACTAAATACGTACACATATGTGGAAGCTTTTTTATTAAAGATTTATGAATGTTCTTACATGAAGCCTAGAATTTAGATATTAAAGATACGACATATAGTCATATTAATGGAAATAAATTGACACAAAATTATAGGGTGCATATAAATTTGTGTGGATTCTCAGGGTAGATTTATCTGTTGTACAACCGCTGATTAAACTTTAAAGGTTTATAGTTGATAGTTCGATTTCATGATTTAAGGTTTAGATATACATATTTTGGTTGTCAATTACACTTTATGAATTTACTAGACATGCTACAACGAGAAGTTTAAATTATTATTTAATACTATTATTTAAGTTTTGGATTTTATATATTTACAGTTTAGAGATTTCATATGTTGTTACTAATAACAGATATTTTGGTTTATATTTTAAGCATAATAATTGTAAATATTTTGTTAATATAATAATTGTCAGACTATGACTCTCAGAATTGCATAAATATTTGACAAGCTTCCGAAAAAATTTAATACTATGTTTTTAGAAATGTTTACGTCATAATATTCGTTTAAATTATTATTATATATATATATATTCATAATTAACAATTTCGAAATAAACCCTAACCCTGTTTTTATAGGCTTCATGCTTCATTAAAACTTACAGCATTTTAATATTTTTAAGCTACTCACTGTACAATCTGGTGATCGTTTTACTCTTACCAACTATGAGCGTTAACATTTCATATTATGAAGTAAACATTCAATCTTTTTAAATTGCCACTTTTTTATATTTAACATCAAAATCTTGAAATAAATCATCTGAACTCTAAATGTAGCAGTCTATAGGAATGTCTATTAACTATATTTTTTCTGAATGTCCCACCAGTTTTTAGGTTTAGATTCAATCATATTATCGAGTGTTCAGATTTTAACCAAAACGTTAGACTTTCTGATTTGGATAAAAAAAAAGAGAAATGACATCTATAAGACCACAATTTGACATTTTTCCACGGATTATCTTGTACAGTTGAAAGAAAAACAACGATAAAGTGTATATAATAGAAAAGATATCTCAGCAGTTGATAGTTTTCAATTAGTTCTTGAAACAGAGAGTTGGAAGACAAAATACCTCAAACATGAGGAAGAGGACCCATGATATCTGATAGATTTAGTTGTCATTTCAACCCTTTCTATGGATATCCAATTTCTGACCTGTCATTTGGATGCACCTTTGATCGATTATGGCTTGGTTGGTGGCTTATGATGGAACCTTAATTAGGGATCAAATGGCGGTTGAGTCTTTTGGGATGTAAGTATATCGTATAAGCCTTTTCATGTTTGCTGCCGAGATGGAAGGGCTTTTTTGAATCTTGTCAAGTATTCAAGACAGGCACAACAAAATAAAATAAATATAACTCCTTATGTAACTAATGAATCCACTGTAGAATTGTATGCACGATACTGAATGCTATTTCTCTTAGCTTTGTGAAGAAATTGTGTCATACTCATAACTAATATGCATCCAGATGTCTTTAGCAACCTCCACCCATTATATAGTTGCAACTTTGATGCTCGTTTCCGAGATTTAAATATTCATGTAGGTTCATCATGGTTGTTTACTATACACAGTTTGTTTCAGCAGGATCTTCTTATCTTATCAAATGCGTTAGCCCTCTAGAACCTTACTTAACCTTACTTCATACCTTATAAACATTATGCAGAACGATGAAGTTTCAAATATGTTTATCATGGAAATAGATTCTCAACAAATGGTAGATTTGGCTAATGGACAAAGAAAGGACGTCACAATATTCAATAACAAATATGGTGTTTGATATACATCCTAGACGAAAGCAATGTTTGACAAGGATACTGTAGTTTTGAAAACGTTATATCTAAACAGTATATGGTAAACACTGATTATATCTCCAAGCAGTCATATACATTGTTAATGGGAATTTTGAATCAAAGAATAATCATGTACGTAATATATAAAAAATAAATAGAATAACTGAGATCATGTGCCTCGTACGTTAGATTCTTGAAGAAGAGAAAACTCTAGTGGCCCATGATCTACAGTCCATTTTGCTGCAAGTACTAAAATGCATCATTATCTATCACATTTTGGTCAATATAGTCTTGAGCACAATAATGATAATACTCCATCTCTATGTAACGCTTTTAAATCGAACCAACTTGGATAGAATTAGAACCGTCCACCAGCTTTCACATTGTTATCATTCCTCACTACTAGCCAAAGTTTCATCTTTCTAATAAGGGTAACAAATTCCCCCAAATAAGGAAAACAGAAACCATACAAGAAAAAGACAAAAGATCATATTTCTCCATTATGAATTTAAAAAAAGAAAACTTAAAATATTCCTCTCACCCCCACATCACCATCTTCATGCTATGCTATCACATTCATGTCCATTACAACACTGATTAACTTTATCTTATAATCTAAACACAGAGCATCACATATTACAAGTTTACCCCTGATGATGGTGATTAGGACATTGAGTTACCAACAGTTTGGAACATCACCAAAACCAGTAGAAGCAGAAGTCATGTTTGGTGTTTGGTTATAAAACCCTAGATTGAGAGGGTTCATCGCTCCGTCGTAAAACTCATCTCCTCCGCTGTCGCCACCACCGTAATCCGCTCCACCTCCTCCCTGACCAGTCTCCATCTCAAACGACTCTGCAAAAGCGATGATCTGGTTAAGTGAACTCAGGCGATGGTTGAGCTCCGTCAGCTGAGCTCTCAAAACGGAGTTCTCCGCCTCGATCTTGACGTAGTGCTCCGTCGTGACGGCGATCTCCGCGGTGGTCTTGCGGTTGTCCTTGCGTAGTTGCACGACCTGAGCGTTTAGATCATCCAAACGCTCGCGCTTCCTCATCCTCGACCTCCTCGCAGACTCTCTGTTAGACTCCAACCTCTTCCTCTTCCTCTCGTTGATCAAATCACGTTGCAAGAGATCAGACTCCGAACCGGAGTTTGGGGTGCTAGTCGTCAAAACCGGCGACCAACACCCGGTTATCCACGATTTCATCTCCGGTTTATTATTATTCATCATCAAAGAACCCAAATTTAAAAAAAAATAAAAATAAAAAAGACACGAAACAAAACACAGAAACACTAGTTTAACTGAAAAGATGCAGGACCCTGATTAAGGTTAAAGCAAAAAAAAACTATATGGAAAGTTGATATAATATATAGTTTAATTTATAGGGTATATATTATGGCTAAAAGAGAGATTGTTTCTGAGAAAACATAGAACCAGTAAAGAAAAACGACTGAGAAAGATTGAACAAGAGGAGTCCTGCGTCTAAGAGATGAATCTATAGTTAAACCAGATCTAAGGACTTCACTAATCACTGGAGACATTAATGTCTGAACATCAAGATCTTGTCTTACTTAACATGAGTTTTTGAACAAAAGACACAAACAGGTTTTAAAAATTCTAGAGAAAACTGAAAAAGAGGAAAGAGGTAGAATTGAGGATGATGAGAAGAAGAGAGTGATTGATGTATTGGAGAGGGAGGAGGAATAAGTAAATCTTTGGGAGGGGTTTTATAGTGTGAGAAGAAAATGAATGAATTAAATAAAAAAATCTCAATTAGAAGGTCAATACAAATTGAAAAGATTAATGGTAATAATATTCTGGGGAAATAAGAAAAAAAGGAATTTTACTGCTGAGAGGTTTACAGCTGTTTTTGCAATGTACATTTATGGTTATAATATTAGAATTACATGATTCTGTATATAACCAATAACATTTTTAGTCATTTTTATATGGAGGAAAAGTAAGCCTTGTTTTCTTTTAGTGACAAAATAAAAAAATTCTAAAATCCTCCAGATTTGTTCCCTTATTTTGTTATATTCACTTTCTATATAAAATAAATTGTTTGGTTGTATTCTTGTATAAAATGGTAATACCAGATAATCTAACAAATAAATTAAAAATAAAAAATGAAACTTTTTCTTGGATTTGGCTGTTTTTAATACATGAGAATCACCCATCTATAGTACCAGAATTAACCGTTCAGTAACGGACACCTGGACTGATAAGACAAAATGATGAAATTAGGGTAGTTGTGGTATTTTCTAGTCCATGTATGGGTATTTCCGGTATTTACGTTCTCCTATCATCATGTCAATAAACTTCAACCAGTATATTTAAAAATGTTAGCGTGAAGTTAAACTAGCTGTTGAATTCATCTTGGTATGCAAATGCATGAAGCATCAAGACTAGTTTCTTACCTATATTACTGCCGTGTGCTGGTCACTTGTCTTGGGGTATAACTAGTTTGGTGGCCGTTCCTGATAATCGTTGTTATACTCTCGTTCTCCGCTACTACCCGTCGTGTGGTTCATAACTGATACTTAACTGTTTTAAGAACATGAGTTGTTGAAGTCAACTGATGACTCACTGCTCTCACTTGGTATCAGAACTTAACTGTTTCTCACTTGGTATCCAAAGTCTAAACTATCACGATCTAAGGCAACTGCGAGGAAAAGAAACTCTTTATGTGCGTGCTTAAGTCTCTTATCTTTTCTAAGAATAACGATTCAATCTGAAAAACACTTCCCTGTAATGACTCACAGCTCTCTGATTTTGCTAGCTACATTTTCACTAAACGGAGGAACTATTCGAAGACGTGGAGAAGAGCTTCCGTCCCATTCCATTAAAACGTAAAGCCAAAGTAATTGAAAATACATTTTTGTTAGAATTAGAGAGCCATCGTACGGATATCTCACGTGTAAGAGTGCGTGCTGTGTGTGTGTGCATGTGGATCCCATGTAAAACCTTATAGATTGGATATCAACTCGACACGTGTCTTTGTTTTACTTAGTAATCAGGACATTCACATCAACGATGTTGGTTCAAACAAATAAGTGTGCTCTGACGTTAACTAGATTCTTATTAATCAATTTCTTCATACATTTACTGGAACAGGTAACAAAAGTATTTGGTACTAATTGTCTTCTTGATAGTTGATATATCGTTCTTGGCCATAATTTAGAGTTTTTCTTTTTAATTTTAAGTGAATTTCAGTTATACTTTTATATTACATGTTTATTAGTTTGCTTTTCCGAAAGGTAAAGCATATGTAACTGCAGAATAAAGCATATGTAACTGATTTTACATAGCAGTCGTTATTTTGATCATGTCTTACACGTTTTGTTAGATTAATATTAAATACTTACTAACAACTTCTTGTACCCCGCAGTTTTTTCCGATTGAATCAATTGAAAAGAAAACATGTTAAAAATAAGGATACCTAGATAACAAGGTTTCGTAGAGCTAGGTAACATATATCAGTTGACCCAAAAAAAAAAAAAAAAAGGTAACATATATCTCCAACTAATCGTAAACCCAAAATCAGTTGAAGAAATGAAAAATATTACGACATATATAGGATTGTTGGGTATGCAAATGGTTAGCACTTACCAAACTGATAAAATCGCCGCCTCAATAAGTTTATCCAACAGGAAAGGTGGTTGTTCGTTATTGCATGTTTACTTAGACATTTCACATTGCATTTATAGAAAATGATTAAAAGCACCCTTTTAATGTACATTCAGATTTGGTGAAATATATAAGCTTTATTTGAATGTTTTTCAGGTTAACAAATTCAGCATTGGTAGCTTGACTTAGTTCTTAGATTGTGATTTAAGTATGTACTTAGAAGCTGTATTTGACCTGCTAATTTAGTTAAAGTGTGTAAAGTTCTATGCACGTTGCAAATATGAAAGACAATCTTTTTAGTTTCGATTAGGATCTCAAAGAATGATTTCTCATCAAAATCGATCAAAGTAGATTCAGAATTAGTACCGCAAAGTTTGGTAAGTGGGTGTAAGGTCAGTGGTGTGAAGTCTCTTTTTACCCAACGCAAAAGGGTTCCAAGTTGCGTAGTGAAACATATAAACAGATGTGGGAAAAGTACTATTAAAGAAAGTTAAGTTAAATATACTGCGTTTAGGCAAAAACAGGTTTTTATACCAAAAGTTGAATCAAAATGTAGTAAAAAGAAACATCTTTGTGAGAGAGAGGTGATCAGAGAGAAGATTCTGAATCTGCCTAACATCTCAATTCTCAAAGCACATTATCCTATCTTTCTTCCTTATTAATCTATTTCCCTATGGTTTGTCCTCTCTTCTTTGCGAGCATTGTGGAATTGTTTTATATCCAGATCACCTTTTCTATTATGTACTATACCTTAAGCTAAGTAGTTATTTGCTTTTGTCGGTATAACAATAATTTTGTGTAATAATATAATCATGAAACTGTCATAATACAATGATAAATTATTTATACACGGATTAGTTAGAATATTTAGGCAAGATTTCCCTCTTTTACTTGATTTTGTTATTTTAAATTGCGAAAATAAACCAAAATAATTGATTGGATATATATAACTAATTGTGAATTGTTATAATCATATATGATAGTGATAGTAATTTCATGGATGACCAAACAAAAGTTGTCTCTCTCCATATAGTTTTTTTTTGTCAATGCGTGGTTTCATTCAAATTTAAATTGTATCGGCCAAAGAACTTGGATAATACAATGAAGGTTTAGCTAAAGCATCTGCTAGACAGTACTGCAAAGAAGGAATTAATAGAAGAGCGTAACAAGGCTTTCAATATAAAAAGAATGCATGCAACCTTATTCAACTCCAATCCTATATAGATAGTATCTTTTATAATATTTGATCTGAATAGATATTGAGCATACAAAAGAAAAGCAAATAACCTGGTCCTCAATGAATATCATGCCGTAACAAGGTAGGTTAAAAGTAATGTATAACGTTAACTGAAACTAACTTTTACAATTAATTGTGGAATCCTTCCATCCAACGAAGATTAAAAGCCAAAGTAAGTTTGCCAAATTATTTATATGGGGGATTATAGTGACTAGTCAATTTTATGAATGTCTACTTTACTATTGTTTTATTATATGTTTATAAAGAAAGCTGGAAAAAGAAAACAATTTGTATGGAGGCATCTTAAGAAAATATTCCACTTTCAGAACATTTATCATTTGTTAGGTTCTTCGTAAACTCCTTAGGATCAAATCTGATATATATATAACAGAAAGACAATGATATAAAATTGAAAGTAGATAAATATATGTAGTTTTCACTTCATGGAAAACAGTTGCCTAATATTCGTTAAACATATATATCGAAGACATAAAAATAGATATAATAGCAAGTAGTAACCGATGAGACCCCAAGGATCTTTTGTTTATATTTTCCTTCACCCATAATTCTTAATCAAAATTTTCAAAGAAAAAAATTCTTAATTAATGTAGTTGTGTGTCAAAAATAATTCTTAATAACCTAAGACTAATCGCTATAATTTCCCAAAAAACAATTCCGAAGACATTTATAGACAGACGTTGCAGGTCATATGCCTCAAATATATATACAAGGACTTTATGATATCAGTTGACATAGTTTACATATTGCCATTCATTAAAGAGAAAAACCTACGTAAACTTTTTTCTGTTGACAATCACATCAAGCCTGATGTTGGGTCGAGATTTCTTGTCTATCTAGCTTTGTATGGCTACGAACTTTTCCTTCGGTAGTAAGGCAAAAATGTGGACATGTAATTTTGATAACGCGATTTTTTATCATTTCAAAACATTCATTATTCATAGTAAGATTTGTGTATATCAAACAACTGCCCATCAAAGAATAACAGAAAACAATAACATGTCGATGTCAAAAAAACAATAGAAATACATAATCAATTAATTATGGGTGGTGCGTCTATACAATGGATTGACGAATAACCTATTGAAAATATAAAAGTATAAGGATATTCTTTTGTTCAAGAGACATGCTCTAGTATAAGTGAATTCTAGAAGCCTTCTTTAAACTAAAGACAAAAAAAAATAACTAAACGGAAAAATAACAATCCACAAGACAATCTCTGAGGAACAAGTTCCATACACCAGAGCATATCATATAGGCATGATCTATCATATATCTTGAATACTAAAATAAGATTTGATTTGCATCTAGACATATGTACACACAGGATATATATACACAATGTATATGCACTCATATATGGTGTATACTGTTAGTCTGCTATATAAACATAACTAGTCATACATATATACAACGGTGTGTTCATTTCTACAATATATACCTTTTAATAGATGTATACTTTGTCCAAAAGAAGTTCTATAGATGTATACATTGACGAAACTCGTTTATAAAATATAGTTTTTAAAATATAAAGGTGAATCAGAGATGGTTTTATAAACTTGGTCATGGCTTTTATTTTTTTTAAGTTTGTTGTCTCCCTTCTTGTTGCTAAAATTCATGTCTCATGACTGTTGAACACAAAACAAAACAGTATCATAAAAGCTCCTCCTTTTGAAAGAGTTCCACCGCCTGTGTGGTGGTTTAGATGTATGCGAATTTTTGGAATCTAAAATCTGGTTCGAATGCATTCATTACATTTCACTTTGTGACCATGTAAAAATAAAATTATCATGTTTTGTGT